CAGTTGTTAACCACTATATGGATGCAGGGATCTGAACCGAGGTCCTCTGGAAGAGCAGTCAGTGCTCTTTAACCACTGACTCATCTCTCCAGCCCCCTCCCCCACCCCGCCACCTCTTTTTTTATGGGTCTTTTTGAGAGACGTCTCGCTGTATTCCCAGCTGTCCTGGAACTCACTATGTAGACCAGGCTGGCTTTGAACTCACAGAGATCTACCTACCTCTGCCTCCCAAGTCTTGGGATTAAAGGCATGCGCCACCACACCCAGCTCGACACACCTCATATTTTTATAAATGTTTGTATTATTATATAACAGATATAAAGTGTATCAGCCAGACATGGTGGTGCAGTCTTGGAATTCCAGCACTTGGCAGTCTGAGGCAGGATTGCCATGAGTTCCAGACTAGCCTGGGATGTGGATGGAGGCCTTGTCTCAAAAAACAATAAACAATTAAACAAATGAGAAAAGTGCATGTATTCTAAGTAGGTAGCATGATCTTAATGAAATACCAAGAAGCAAAACCACCCATACTGAGTGTGGTGATGCATCCCTTTAATCCCAGTACTTGGGAAGCAGAGGCAGGTAGATCTCAGGACTGAGGTCAGCCTGGTCTACATAGTGAGTTCCAGACCATCTGGAGCTACAGGGAGACCCTGCCTCAAAACAAACAAACAAATAAATGATAGAGGATAGACAGATAGATAGATAGAAGATATAGATAGACGCCTTTAGTCCCAGTACTTCAGAGGCAGAGGCAGGCAAATTTCTGTGAGTTCAAGGCCAGCCTGGTCAACATCGTGAGTTCCAGGCCAGGTGGGGCTACAGGGAGATCCTGTCTCAAAAAGACTAAATAAATAGATAGATAGATAGATAGATAGATAGATAGATAGATAGATAGATAAAACAAATTAGCAACTTGCCAAAGACTGTCCCCTCATGAGCCCTCTCAGTTGCTCAATGTCTTCTCCAACCATAAGCATATCTTGACTTCCAAATCAATTCACCTGTTCACCTGCTTATAAATTTTATATAAATCATGCCGGGCATGGTGGTGCACGCCTTTAATCCCAGCACTCAGGAGGCAGAGGCAGGCAAATCTCTGTGAGTTCAAGGCCAGCCTGGTCTACATAGTGAGTTCCAGGACAGCTGGAGCTACCCTGTCTCAAAAAGACACACACAAAAAACTTTATATAAATCAAATCATACAGTTTTGTTTTCACTTGAGATGTCTTCCCTGATGCTGTGAGTAGCGGTTCTTCTTCCTCATCATCTTGCATTCCATTGTATGAAGGCACGGCCATGTATTCATTTTATTAATGGTGGACATTTCAAATTGTTCTATTTTGGGCCCAACATGAATAACACTGCTGAGAAATTTTATTGAATGTATGTGCCCCTTTGCAGTACATGTCATGGAGTAAAATCACTGGGTCCTCAGGTACACATAGATTCACCTTCAGTGCATACTACCAGTTTTCCAAGACCATGGGCTAATTTATCCTCACATCACAGTGTTTATTTTTGCATCTGCCCTTAACCAACCACCGATAATATGTATAATTGCAGAATTTCTCTCCTTTCCCTCTTCTCTCTCTCTCTCTTTGCCTAATATAATGCTAGAGGGCAACTTTGATGGGGTAATTAATTTAATAAATTAATAAGAAAATGACCAACAAGCACAGATTTGTTTTATATCAGTAGTATATCATATCTTTGGCAACATGGACAGGCTTTGGGGACAAGGTGCCATGGTTTGACTTCTGATCCATTACTAGCATATTATCTTCTTGTACAGTTTTCCAACATTTGATGACACTGTGTTGTTATGAAGGATTAATAAATCAAGCATAAGATCCAGCAATATCCAGCATATAATCTGAGCTTAGTGTGATTAGCTATGGCTGTGACTGTCCAGACCCCAAGGCCCAAATACCAGAAAAGTCTCTAGAGAGTTGGTTAGTCTAAATCTCAGGGCACCCATTGTTCCCAAGTCCACAGGACACCACTGGACTTCCACAGTTCCCTTTACTGCACACTCCCCATTTGCCATAGGTGTCATGTCTCCTCAAGAAGATGGCACATTCTTTAAAGACAGTGACTTTCTCTTCATGGTAGCAGTGGTTTAAGTCACATTTTAACATTGGGGAATCTTAGCTGAATAAGTTGTTCCAAGTTCATATCTGAGCACTCAGAGCTGGGGCGCTATGGAGAAGTGAGCTGTCCCTCTTCCTTCCCTTCCCTCCCTCCCTTCCTTTTTTTTCTTTCTTTCCTTCTCTCTCTCTCTCTCTCTCTCTCTCTCTCTCCTTTCTCTCTCTCTCCTTTCTTCTCTTTCTCCTTACTTTCAGACAAGGTATCCCTGTCCAGACTGCAATGAACTCTAAGCATGAGCTCCCACACCTGGCTCTAGCTGTCTTTTTTTTTTAGCCATCAGCTGGCTGGGCCCCTGGGAACTTGTTGGCAGGAACATGACATGACCCACTCCTTGAGATAAGAGATATCTTGGCACACAAGTTGACATCATAGTACTTAACAAATATTTGCCATTTGTCTATTGATCTCTTGTTCTTTTCAACTTCCCTGTTCTTGTCTTGTTCCCTTCCTACACAATTATACTTGATTTAATCTCTTGTTTGATAACACTTGAGTCTCCTCTGATACTTTTCAGTTCTGGATAAATTCATATCAGATCATATATAGTGATTGCCTATAACAAAATAAGTCAGATTTCTAACTGAAAACGCAAAACCAAAAACAAACACCTTCAAGCTGAGCATGATCACACTTGCTTATAATCTCAGCACTTGAGAAGCAGAGGCAAGATCAGGAATTTAAAATTGTTCCCAGCTACACAGTAAATTTGCCAACTTGAACTACACGATATATTCTTTAAAAAAAAATATTTTGGTGTATTTATTTTTATTTTATGTATTATGTGTATTTTGCCTGTATCTAAGTGCACCATATGTGTGCAATGCTTGTGGAACCCAGAAGAGGATGTCAGGTCCCTTGGAACTGGAGTTGCAAACAGTTGTTAGCTGCCATGGGTGCTGGGAATTGAGCCCAGATCCTCTGCAAGACCAACCAGTGCTCTTAACCTCTGAGCCATTGCTCCAGCCCTGAGACACTATCTTTTTTTTTGGCTTTTTTAAGCCCCAACTGTCCTGGATCTCACTATGTAGACCAGGCTGGCCTCAAGCTCACAGAGATCTGCCTGCCTCTGCCTCCCAAGTGCTGGGATTAAAGGTGTAGGCCACCACACCCAGCTGAGATACTATCTTTTAAAAAAGCTAACGAGCCAAAACAAAACAAAACCCACCAAAGAAGCAAAAGATACTTTGTAATCCATAACTAAGCCCTCTGAGTTACCTATAATGAGACTGTAGACCTCAGTCTATGAGAACTGTGTAATCATTTTTGTTCAAGGAGCAATTCATAATTGCTATTGCCAGGGAGAATGAAGGGGGATAGAGCTGGCAGGACTCCTCCTAAAAATGCAACATGGCATCTTTTTGTTGTTTGGGTTTGGCAGGGAACTTACTATGCATTGAATACCTGGTACCCTGACTGCAGAACCCTGTCTGTGGCCACTAGGAACAGGAAGCCATCTTCTCACTTTGATGCCTCCTTCAGTGGCTTTCAAGATGCACTATAAGTGATGCAAAGCACCTGAGCATCCCGAGAAGCCTTGTGGGTAGGAGCGCAGTCAGGGTGTAAGCGGAGGCAAATTCTAGTCAGAAGGGGGAGAAAAGGTTCTAGCTTTCTCTTGGTGGGGGGGTCCCTTTATAAACTGAGAGGGCAGATAGAGGGGATATAGTAGGCCTAGAACACACTGGCAAGGTTCAGATGGCAACAAAATCTACTGTATGGGCATTTCTGGTTTGCTGGAGATTTGTGTATGAAAAGTATGAAAGTCCAAAGTATTTGGCCTTGAGATGATTCCCCTAGCACTATATAGTGCCAATAGGATGGACTCTTGGGGGGAGGGAGGTACTCTGCAGACCAAACCCACAGCCTGCAGGCCATTGTGATGTTGGTTCACCCTGGAAAGAACATGCTCCCTTAGGCTCCCCTTTCCTGAGCCTGCTCTACCCAGAAAGCACCCGAGAAAGCAGAAATCTGGTCAGAGCAGCTTGTTGGAACACAGGCACTTATGTAAACCCATGTTAAGCCTCTCAGGTTGCTTTCTATACTCACAGACGGATCATCCTGATCTTCCTTTCACCAAACAGCCTAAAAGGCCTCCTGCCTTCCCCATCAGGTATAAGAGCACTTATCTGTACCTGGTTCTTTGCCATGTCCCCAGCACTTAGAAGTCTAGCCCTGACTCACAAATATTTATTGAAAGAATTACCTGTTACTTAAGACAAACCAAATGCCAAGACTAAGAGTCCAACTTGCACCAGGACAGGCAATAAACATACGGAACATTACAGCTACATTACAAGGTGAGTCAAGTTTGGATGGATAATGACAGCATAAATTACTTCTGAAAAATGAATGTGGAATATATTTATGGTGCTGGAGATCAAGCCCATGGCTTCACACATGCTAGGAAGTCCTCAGTAACTACAAGCCCAACCCAGTGGAACAACCCCAGCCTCAGTGGTTTGGGTATTTTTTTTTTTTTTTTTTTTGAGACAGTCTCCCTGTAGCCCCAGCTGGCCTGGACCAGGCTGGCCTTGAACTCAGATCCACCTGCCTCTGCCTCCCAAGTGCTGGGATTAAAGGCATGCACCACTACACCCAGCTGCCTCAGTGGATAAAACCCGATATTGCTGATGCTCTTGGAAGCAAACCAGTAAACTAGGGATTAGGGCAGCAGTTTGTTTTTTGTCTTACTCTTTAGTTCAGGCTAGCCTCAAACCCACAGTAACCCTGCCTCAATTTCGTATTGAGATTAAGAACTACACCAGATTTACAGCAGCACTTTCAAATATTTAAATGGATTCATTATTGCCCTTTATCCCCACCCAAAAAATACAAAGTAACACATGACACAATTTATGCAAATTTTTTCAAGGTTTTATTGCAAACCAAAATTGGTTTATCACACACAAAAAAAGTTGTGTGGTAAGGAGGAATTGTACATATTATAACCATGTTAATTACAGTACATTAAAATGGTAGTTTACAAATAAGCCTGTAAGTTTAAATATACTAGTGTTATAACCCAATGTACAGACTTTCTTTACAGGATACATACAATATCAGGAATGAAAAAAAAAACCCATAAATAATGCCCATTTTACAGGTGACATTTTAAACAATGAAAACACCAACGGCTCTGACCGACAGCTAGGGCACTGGTCCATAAAAACCCTTTCTAAAAATAGAAATATTTGTAGCAGCAATGCTTCCTTTTAAGCATCTGGATGCAAGTCATTGCAAGACCATTTCAATAAATTTTAATTAACTATATCTTACAAAAAAAAACAGTCTACACATAAATTTATCTTCCAAATATGGAAGAAACAAACAATGTCCCACATTGTAGTGTCCTGCAAGTGTCACATTGATGCTCATAACAAAACCATCCGTGATCAGGCATACCGCACTCACACCACTGTTCACACAGGAAATGCACAAAGGAAAATGAAGAACTGAAACACTGATAGGAAAAGCTTTGGAGCTAACACGATCTTATCAGAAAAGGCACATTGCAGAATATTCGTGATCACAGCCAAGACAGACCTGTGGAAGATCCCTCTTACACCTGCATCTATCTTCCTTCTAACAAGACCATGGCGTCTGTCTAAGGCGGCACTCTGATGCTCATTTCAGAGCTAGCACCACGTTGGAAGAATAAAAATGAAAAACCTCACGAGCTCACCGAGAGGAGGATGTGCTCTTTGAAAAGCTTCCAGCAAGCAGTGCGCAACAGGATCGCCAAGCTTCCAGGTGTCCTGTCAGCTGGCAGCTCCACTAAAGGCTAACTAAAACATTAAAGTACACACAGAAAATCCTTCAAAACCATGCCAAGAACTGCTCAGAGGAAAGAGTCCATGGGAGGCGCATAGGAGAAGCCAAGGAAGGCCTCTGCAGCTTCCTTGACGCTGGGTGTGACGAGAATGCTGTCAGGGGACCTGCCAATGGAGTTGGGGACTGGCTCTTCAGTAAACTCTGGATCAAAGTGCCGCAGGTCACTGGGTCCACTCTGTTAAGGAGGGAAAAATGTACTCAGGTCAAAAGTGCACACAGGGCACAGGACAGGGAATCCTTTCGGTTATTAGGATTGTATGAAAGGTCCCATAATTCTCCCCTATAAGCACAAAATCCCAAGATTCCTCAGAGTTCAGATGAGGGTAACAGTCTGCCTCTTGGTACTTTCTCTTGATTACAAGGTCTTACTGTGTGTGCAGCCTAGGATCACAGGCCTTAGACTTGTGATCCCTGTTCAGTCTCCTAAGATAATGCTATAACAGGCATGTGCTACAAATGCCTGGCACTTCCTTTGGTACTTGAATTGACCATTGATAATGAATTGATATTGGATTGATAAATGCATTTCATTAGGATAAAATCTCTTTTCCTCTGGGAAAATAATGAATCTATGGGTAAAATCTGCTATTTATTTCTTGAAGTCCCTTACTGACAGGTCTGACCTAAAAGAAACCTTCTGGGTCTCGCTATTTTTACATCAGAAACAGACCCAGATACTCACCACATTTGGGTTAAAAGGGGGAGTAATCTTCTTATTGATGAGATCATCCCAGTTAATTAGAGAGAAGAAGACATGGTTCTTGATCTCCATCTGTTGGAAGGAAACAGATTTGTTTAGATGGGAAGAACTCAATAAAGGCAATAAGGTCTGTGATCCTCCCCAAGGGCTCAGGAGAACAAGGCATCGGTACTCACAAAGTCATCCTTGGCACCCAGCCTCTTTGTGCGGTCCTTCTGCAGCAGGCCCTCCAGGAGGTGTCTTGCAGAGTTTGTAATATTTGGTTTCAACTGGAGGGGCTTGTTCAATATGTTGTCGTACATCTCAGCTGTGTTCCGACTATAAAAAGGAGGCTGGGAAAGAAAAGGAATGCCTTCATATTTAATTGGAAGTTTTATATAGCATGTATGATCAATAGGGAAAGAGCTACTCCTTCCCCAGTGTCAAAATGTCTTTGATTTTTAAATGTCTATTTTACAACCTTCACTCCTTGGGGTGTGTGCTGGGGGATGCAGACTAATAATAAGCCATGGTTCACTATCACACAGGTTAAATGTGGTCCTCTATAGTAAAATGTGGTATGTGCAAAAGAGAAAACCCACTAGAGGGCTGGAGACACTCACATGGTAGAGTGCCTACAAACATGTGAACCTAGGTTCAATAATAATTAAAAGCAAAGACTACAAAAGGGGAAAAAATCCACTGGATAAGATTATGCTTACAAAATGCACTTGTTAAAAGTGTCTCTTACTTGCTTTTGATAAGGTTACTGATAAGGCGATCTAATAGCATTTCTAGTCTATACTCAGGTAAATAGGAAGACAATGTTCTAGAGTGTCATAAGACAGACAGTTCCACATGTGTATTACTCACCAGGCCATACAGCATCTCATACAAGACGGCTCCGAGGCACCACCAGTCCACTGTCCTGTCATACGGCTGCTTATGAAGAACCTCGGGTGCGAGATACTGAAAAGACATAACATATGGATTTAGATAACCCACAAACCCAGGCAATCCTCATGTTACAAACATTAAATATCTTTTATTTGCACTCAGTGGTACTAAGGAATCTCTTAAGAGATCATTCTCTTTGTATTTAAAAGCATCTGTTCATGTCTCTCCTGAATGAAGGGGTTAGATCAGGCACCAAATCAAGAACTCTTACCTCAGGCGTGCCACAGAAGGTGGATGTTGTGCCATTGTGTTCAATGTTCTCCTTGCAGAGCCCAAAGTCAGTAAGGACAATGTGTCCCTGTGAGTCTAGCAAAATATTCTCTGGTTTTAAGTCTCTGTAAAAAAACAGTGAAAAGTGGTTGCACAGGTTAATTTCACTTTGTGGGAAATCCTCTGTAAAGCATTTTAAATCCATTGCTGTTCTATAACAAATAATAGAAAGGGAGTCCTTGTTCTGCTAATCTGTTCTGGATTAGATACCCCATTGGCTGGTTCCCCTAGTGGCCTGGAGTCCAGGCAGCTCACATGCTGGAGACCAGGTTTTAGGTGACCAAGTTGCACATGGTCACATTATTTCAAGGCTCCAAAGGACTAGGGCCAGGCCTCCCTCCTTCGTAGGGTTTGACTCTTTGACTTACCTATAAACAATGTTCAGAGAGTGCAGATAACCCAAGGCACTGGCTATTTCAGCTGCGTAGAAGCGAGCCCGAGGTTCTAGGAAGCAGCGCTCCCTCTGGAGATGGTAGAACAACTGTAAGAGACAAAACAAAGTCTGTGTTGGGACCAAAACATCGGATTAGCCCTGACACTTAGAGCTAAAGAGAACAATTGTAGGAAGTGGCTCTAAATAATCCATTAGCTATCTGAAAGCTGGCCAGTTAAAGGAAATGCTAATTCTGGCACCCCCCCCCCCAAGTATCTTTAAAACTTTCTTTGACCCAAACCAAGGAAGCTGTGCAGAGACAAACCCCCAACATCCACCCCCATCACCAATGCCGCTACTCCCCCAGCTCACCTCTCCACCGTTAATGTAGTCTAGGACAAAGTACAGTTTGTCAGCAGTCTGGAAAGAAAAGTGCAGGCCCACCAGGAAAGGGTGTTTCACGTTTTTCAAGAGAACATTCCGCTCTGACATAATATGCTTCTCCTAAGAAAAAGACAATCAAGGCTCAGCGGCAAATTTCAACTCGGCACCAAAGCTGCAAGGAAAAGATTAGCCACGAAGCCTCTGAGCCCAGCTTGTAAAGGCCTCCTACCTCCTTCTTCTTCAGGATGGCTTTCTTCTGTAAAACTTTGACTGCATAGAACACTTCCTCTGCCTTGTGTCTAGCTAGAAGAACCTGCAATGAATGGCAAGCCAAAGGTCATTCTTTGATCTTCATCCAGACAGAATGCAAACATGAACACATAAAAGACTATTTGAAAAGCCTTTAGATTTGAAATTACCTTTCCAAAACTGCCCTTCCCGATCACTTTGAGGAAGTGAAAGTCAGATGGTTTAGCATGGGGATTAGATGATGGACCAAGGTTGATTTGTTGAGAAGGACTTGGCTAGAAAGTAAAACATTGTCCTTTAAGATCAGTTCAAAGACTTCTAGACTACAGTGTAAGCAATGTAAAAGGCACTACAGCTACAAACGCCCAAGGCAAGTCACCAAAAACCTATAAACCTTTGAAATGACTTTTTGTTCCCGTGTAACTATTTGAAAAAGTGTACATACGCTGCACACACCTTACTGTTAACAGACAAAACTTTTATGAAATCCAGCCCTAAAAAATATTCCAAGTGACTCAATACTTAAATACTTATGTCACTTGACATGTTGTGAATAGACATTCCTGCCTTGGTAATTTCTACAAATGCTGTCTTGATTGACTGCTGTAGAAATACTGATTCATTTACGATTTTCCTCCCCAGATGCAAACAGTGAGTACTTACCGGAGGAGAAGGGTTGGCATTCATAAGCTCGGGCTCCTGAGGCTGGGAGATTTTCAAAATGGACTGAACTTCAGGGCTGCGGAAAATAAAGGAACGAGTCAGAGACGCTAACTTGCCACTAGAGGGCACACCGACACAAACTGCATTTCTGACTCAAAGGTTTCAAGGAGAATTCAGTATTTAGACTAAAAACTGCCAGAAAAATTCTTTAAAAGAAAAAAGATAGTAAAGAAAATGATAGCCCAGTTAAGGTTGCTCATCGAGAGGGGATGTGAATTCGGTGAACATTTGTGAAAATTTTATCTTACAGTCTAGGGCAAGCCCAAGTCATACATTAATTAATGTTAATATATCTTAAATGTTTCAAATAAACCAAAAGTTAAAGACCAAAAGAGATCTCTACCCCTGGAGTAAAGACTAATACGCTTTCCCCAACTGAGCAGTGCTAATAAGTCTTAGGTGCTGGTAAATTCAAACTAATCTATTTTTTTTTTTCCAGCTCCCCAAACTTACTGTTTGCATGCATAGGAGTTATTGGCGATCTTCTGAATAAAGTCATTCAGGCCCATCCTTCTCTGTTTCATAAAAGCTGTGAATTATAGGAAAAAAAAACAAACAAAAAACATCAACGTTTAGCCGGCTTCGTAACGTCCAACGCCACACATTAATCTGATCCCGAACCTTTAAAACCTTCCAAACATTCCAACGGTTGCCTTTCCCACAGAAGTCCGGTGACTTTGCAGCACTCACCGATGAGAATCGCTACCATGCCCCTCATTCTGGAGTAGGTGAGGGTGCCTCTAGCAGCCTCGGTTTTCACAGTCATTGCTCCAAAGAGATCACAGAGACGTCTCGGAGCAGAGACCGGCTGAGCCAACTGAGCTGGGGCTGTGCGGCCGGCTTTATAAACCCTGAGCCGCCGCCGGACGGGGCGGGAGGAACAATGAGGAAGCTGTGCGGCCCCGCCCCTCTCCTTAGGCCCCGCCCCCTGCCTCGCCTCTGCTGCAGGAGAAGTAGACCCGCTGCGGGCGCCCGGTCCCGGCGTGAGCTAGCCAGCCGGCCGGGGCGTGGGCGAGGGGGTCCCCGGATTGCGCGGACAGGGCGGGCGCGGCGGCTCTAGGCCTCCATCAGGCCGGGCCGAGGAGGAGGCCGCGCCGACGGAGGGGACAGGAGGGGTGGAGAGCCCGGGGTAATTTTCCATTTTCTCCCAGCGCTGTCCGATCGGACCGCTGATCGGCCCCGACCTCTCCTCGCCTTCCGTCCTCGGTTCCCGCCCAGCCCGGGGTCACCTCCGGGTCCGCAGGGGACCCGGGAGCCGGGGGCCGCCCTCCCCGCACCGTCCTCCCCGCCCTGCATCCGTCCGCAGCCCGCCCTGGGCGAATGTCGCCGGGGGACGGGACGGGACGGGACGGGCGGCGGCGCTTACCCAGTCCGCTCAGCAGGACCGACTCGCTCCTTTTCTGCGCCTCCGCCCTCTTTTTGTGGCGGGGTCGGAGCAGCGACTCGAGCCGGGCCCGGGCCAGCGCACCCTGCATCTCCCCCATGGGCAGCGGAGCGAGGGGCGCGCAGCGGGCGACGGCGACCGGCGAACACTGACGTTTCCTTGAAGGAGCCGCCGTGACTCAGGCCGGCAAGATTTCCTGCCCCGGTCCCAAAACAAACAAACGGCCCTTGTGCACGGCCGAGTCGCTTCCGAAAACGCCTTTTTTGTGCTTTTGGCCAAAACCAAGCACGGCTGAATCCCAGAACTTGGAAGAGGAGGAAGGAAGGAAAGAAAGAGGGAAGGGGGGGGTCAGGAATGTGTAGGGGGAGGGGGCGGAAATAAGTCTGCACTACAAGAAAAAAAAGTACAATCTGCATTTCACTTTTTTTTCTCCTAATCTCCGAGAACATTCTGTCCGTTCCGCATGTAATTTTTGTGCCTTGCAAGTTGATCCCCGCCATGCCAAAAACACGTGAGGAGGTGTGCAAGTTAAGGGGAGCAGTGGCTTCGCTCTGGGACCGACCTCGAGTGACCCTTGCACGGCCGATTCCCTCACCTTTCTTGGGGCCTGCTGCTCTCCCGCTCTCCCACCTAAAAACTCTGCAAGGGCACGTTGCATTGCCTTAAACCCCCTTCGTTTCCCGGCATCTCCTCTACTCCTTTGGTTTATCTCGTAGCTGGCCCGCTTGGTCTTAGTTGGAACACCTCGTTTTTTTTCTCGAAAGTTCACCTACAAGTGCGTCCCGTTAACTCCTCAATTCGCCAGGAGACTGGACTCCAGTGGAAAGCTGCAAGAGGGAGCCGGGCTGGTCAGGAGTGAGGCGGGTGCCTTGCAGTAACCCCGCCGCTGGGGGATGCCTGGCGCTGCAGCCTGACCTCCGGTCCGGGGATGCGAGCCGGCTCTGGCTGGTAAGCTGGGAGCACTAGGTCTGGGCCAGGGACGGGAAGATTGCTGCAAGTTAGCCGTATTCCCAGGGCCAGAACCTGGCGCTGGCTGGTGCAGTGTTGTGTGGCTGCCCTACCATGACCCCTTGCTGCCTAGGGTCCAGCGTTTTAGAGCTGACACATTTCAAAATGCCAGTTGTCAAGCCAGGAAGAGTATGTAAAACGCTTTTCCCCAGGTCTTGGGCAGGGGTTTGTTTTGCATCCACTGCCACCTCGAGTGCCCTAATATGATCTCTAGTCTCAGCTGCTTCTAGATTCGCTCAGTTCTGACCGCCAGGAACCTGAAGAAAGAGAGTGCATGCTCTCCTGGCAACAAGCTGGCATATTTTTGCTTAGCATCTACACTTCAAAAACACTCACAGTTGGCCGGCGTGGTGGTGCACGCCTTTGATCCCAGCACCAGGGAGGCAGAGGCAGGTAGATCTCTGTGAGTTCAAAGTCTACACAGGGAGTTCCAGGTCAGCTGGGGTTATAGGGAGACTGTGTCTCAAAAAGACCAAAAAAAAAAAAAAAAAAAAAAAAAAAAAAAAAAACAAAAAACAAAAAACAAAAGCCAACAACAACAAACCCAAAACCAAAAAATAAAACCCCACTCACTGTTGCCAGAAATTGACATTCCAACCTAAAGCAAGGTGCAGGTGATTCAGGTGTAGGTGTAGGAGTCAGTAATTGACCCCTGACAATTTTTCCATGCTTGGATTCTGCATAGGCCATTGAGTTCTTCGTTAGTGCCAGTGGCCCCACAACCATGTGCCACCATTCAACTAGCCTGGCCCAACCCTGCCTGCCTTACTCTACCCCTACCCACCTGGCCCCTACCCTGTGAAAGCAGAGTTTGCTCAGAAACACCAATCTCCACAAAGATGTTTGCTTGTTGGTTTTAAAACATTAAACCAAAAAGCCTTCCATCAGAGACCATCTTTTGTACACCACCCCACGTTTGGAGAGCTTCCGATGCCTCTACGTCGCATCTTTGTTTAACCCACCCCATCCAAATTATGGTACTCAAAACACAAACCTTTCCAAGGGGATCTTATAGTCTCCTCTTTCATTCTTCACAGTGCTGGAGATGTGAAGGCTGGAATTACTTTATGGAGACTGGAGGGAGAGCCAGTTACAGCTGGAGTAGCCTCTAGGCTAATGAGCCTCTGATAAGGCTGGAAGCTCAGGATGACAAGGGAGCTCCAGCCAGAGGCTGCTGTTTGTTCTGAACCTCACTTTATATCTAAGGGGAATTTACATACAGGAAGGGAGCAAGCTGCAAAGTTCAACACTGGGCTATTTATTCTGTAGTTGCAACATCATCCAGAAAATTATAGTCATCAGCATCCTAGGTTTATTTCACCCTCCCGGCAAGACACACAAGAAATGTAACAACTGATTATCACCACAAATCAGTCCAGAAAAAATTCAAAACACATGCACAGGGTTCACTCTCCTGGGGAAGCTCTGTGGCATGCATTCCAGGAGGAACGTGGAATTCAAGTTAGAGTGCCCCAAGTGTAACAGAGAGTAGGCACAACCATATATTTGTGGTTGGAACAGAAAAGAACTCATCTGATGTGCTTCTTCCTCCCCCTACCCCGAATGCTCTGTAGTTGGAGACGGATGGTCTGCTAAACTTATCATTTAACAGAGAGAATCAAGTTGTTGAGACTGACTTTTCTTCCAACCGGATACCTGATGGGTGGAGCAGGCGCCCCCTGTTCTGTCCCAGCAACCTACTAAGACTTCCGAACAGGAAGGTGACACACGGCAGTGGGGGAGGAGAGAGACTAAGAGTCTCTGTGTGAGGCGCCTGTTAACCGTGCACAGGCTCGAGGCAGCCCAGTGGCTGCTATTCAAATGCTTGATCTATTCTTCCTTCCTTGGTCCAGATAGTCCTCCTACCAGGAGGTATCCGGCAGTCTTCCTCCCCGGTGGCGAAGCGGCCAGACTGACCTCGCACACCCCGGTGATAGATGCAACCTAGAGGGCGATCGCGTTCTCTGGGAGAACGGCTCCACTACGGCAGATTCCCTCACTGCTGTTCTGCACAGATCTAACCAGTCCCAGAGACCTGCACTGTAGCTCATCTTGTAGTCACAGAAAATATAGGGGTTTGATGAGAGACTGGATAATTAACTAATCTTCCCTTCCCAAGCCATTGTTCTCAAATGTATGCTCCGGTGTAGGTAATACTGCAATTAAGGCTCTGATAGAAATGATTCACCAAGATGTAAACTTTGCCCTGGAAGAAAACATTTTCTAGAGCATGTGTATGTTAATTCTTCAGAAAACTGCTTTTAGCTCTTCTCCTTTATTTCTGTTTAAGAATGGGTTATATAAACATTGACATATGACAGCTTAACTAAAATAACTTCCCATTTAATCCAAAGCCTCACAAATAACAATTTCTGAATGTATTCGAGAAAATGTTTTGAAAAGTATTGTAGAAGCGCTTAGCTACATCAACGCTTACACTACTTAAGTGTGTCAGATATGCTAGTCTTGATTACCTATATGCCATATCTTTCATAGATGATGAGGAAATACAATTTTGTATTGCTCAGAATGCTATAAATTCTAGAAGAAGCTTGTGCACAGTTTAGTGTCCCATGCTGTTTTTGACTCATTGAGTGATGTATATAGAAGTCATTCCCTGGAGCACCCACAAAGCATGCAGAAATACCAGAAAACATAATTATTATTGTAGAAAGCAACTGAATGGATTGATTTTTGTTGCAGGCTGTCACTAAGAGCATGTCCTTTAAATACATAGTAATCTCCCAGTGGAAATGATGATAAATGAGTTGATTCATTATGGACACGTAACTAACAGTGGTGGTTAAGCATCTATTTATAGAATACAAGTTCTGTAATTATTATTGCCATCCATATTTGATAACACCAATGTTCTGCACCCATTCCTTCTAGAAAGAAGGGCCACGGGTAAAGTTGATGGGAGAGTAGGGGTGCAGTTTGGGTTTTGTAGTTGGTTTTTTATGTTAATTGGGACAGTGGAAGAAGTGAGTGGGTGCTCTTTTTTAAAATTTATTTTTATTTTATGTGTATGAGTATTTTGCCTGTATGTATGAAAGAGCATCTATATACAGTGCCTGTAGAGGCCAGAGGATATCAGAGGCCGTGGAACTAGAGTTATACACAGTCGTTAGCTGTCA